TATTTCTGACGATTGATAAAAACAGCAGGGTGGCTAGTTTATAGATCTTTAATCGGGTTGAAATCGCAGGTTAATCCTCAATAAATTCAAGTAATGAACTGAGCACATTCGTGAGAAAATTTTTCCAGTGTATCCAAGTGTTCACTTTTATTTGGATCCTGCTGAGTGACCATTCTGCATCATCTGGTAATATATTTAACTCAACCCATCTTATTTCAAATACTTTTATCTTTTCCGAAAGGTTATTTGAATTAAATTGATCTATAATTTTGGGGGTTTCTCCATATTAAATTTAGCTTTTCACACTAAAAGAAATGTCGGATGGCAGATAGATGATATATGATATGTATGGAATTCATTTATAAACAATTTGGAAAAGAGGGGATCGCTAGAGCAGCCTTGTCTTAGGCCAATTTAACTCATAATTCATATCTGAACATAAATGAACAGGTAAAGACACTAGCCTTATGTGATTTTCTGACCCTATTTTAATTCCGTGCATCGTTGTGTCATGATTTTGTGGGGGTTTACATGACTGCTAAATTGGGAACTTGCGACTGCGTTTCGATCAATTTTAAAGAATGAAAAGTCAAAAGTCCTTAAACTGAAATGTAGTAAATAATGTATGTATATCAAAGGAATCTGATGGTTTTGTACAAGTTGACACCTTAAGACAATGAGCAGAAAAGAAGTTTGGTACACTATAATTTTCTTTAAGATATCAACCTATAGAGTTCAATACGATTAGACTCATCTACCATCTCTTAAAACCATTTCCTATTCATGTCAAGAGTCAGATTTATTTTATAGACCATAGCGTTATCAATGGAATGTTTAGCTATACACGTCATGATGACGTAATTTGAATAACTCGAGTCAATTACCATCATCTGAAGTCCTTTTACCTTTTATTTTGTGATGTATTAAATTACTACGGTACATTTAGTTCTCGGCTACAGTCATAAAACTGAACAATAACTCAATTGATAGTTGAGTAGATTGTTTCGCCATTAGGGAAATTACAGACCCTTTCTGTTGTGTAATAAAACTTGGTGTGAAAGAAAACAAAACATGAAGATGAGATATTGAAAATAGAAGATGGATAAACCACATGGATAGACAGATTGTAGATCAAACGATAATTGGGTCCATTTAGACTTATGCAGTGCCCGTCGTAATGCATCATATTCCATCATCTTGTAACAATTCAGTCCCAGCAAGTAAAACGTTAAAGGCTTGTTTGAAAATATGAGTAACTTCCGATATTAAAATCACCGATATTTATCTAACGACAGAGATCAAAGCAGATATTATTTTACTGGGAAAATATCATGAAATTTTATATGAAATTATTGGTTGTGATTTATCAACAAATCGTTAACTTTAAATCCCACTTTCGATTTTAAAACTCTACTTTCGCTTTGAGGATTATTTTACAGCGGATTTGTGGGGGTAAACTCTCAAGCAGTGATAACGACATTGGCTTATTAATAATTTTGTAATGAAAATATCATTAAAGATCAATTATTGTCAA